GAAAAGGATTCTAGAGCAATTTTCACCTGTTGGACTTCAGCCTAACTCTCTGCACTTGAGCACTTATATTCCCCCTTCAACCCACTCTGACCTGAAGTCTCCACTCCTGAACTACTCTTATCAAAGTCATGAACAACAGCTACCCTAGCAGTTCCAAAGGACACTTCTGTGTGTCCTCTTAGTCACACCAGCTCTGTGGACACCTCCCTCCTTCTCAAGTCTGGGTTCAGTGACACAGCATTCTCCTACTTTCTTCCTTTCTCCCTGGCTGGTGCTCCTTCTGTTTTCTTTGTGGTTCTCCTCTTGCCACCTCATCCTTAGCTTTGTTCATTCTCATTCCCTCTTCCTCTCTCTTTCTCTCTCTCCCCATTTTCATCCCTGCATATGGATTTACCTGTCATCTAAATTTTATCTCCATCCAGGAATTGTTTCTATGAGTTACAGGTACACGCTCAACTGTCTACTTAAAATCTCTAATTGGATATTTAATAAGGACTCAAACTTAGTATGACCACAATAAAACTCTGGATTCTCAAAGCTGGCCCTCCCCATTGAAAAACCAAAACCCTCAAAAAACAAGAACAACGCCCAGTCTTTCCTCTCCTTTTCAGAAGTTGTCATGGACAAGACTTAGGGGTCATTTTTAATTCCTCCCTAGTCCTTGCTCCCAAATCTCATCTATCACCAACTGCTGGCAGTTACACCTGCAAAGCATATCCTGTTTTATGTATACAACAGCTTTATTGATACATAATTCATACACCAGACAATTTGCCAATTTAAAGTATACAATTCAATGGTTTTAATATATTCATAGAGTTGTATAATCATTAACAAAGCGATTTTAGACATTTTTGTCACCCCAAAAGAAATCATGTACCCTTTAGGCACTCACTCTCAATTTCCACCTAGGCACACTCCAGTTCAGTTCTAGGCAACCATTAATCTACTTTCTATTTCTATGGCCAATTTGCCTGTTCTGGAAATTTTATATAAATGAAATCATGTAATAGGTGGTCTTTTGTGTCTGGCTTCTTTCATTTAGTGTTATTTTCAACATTTGTCAATGTAGTAGCATGCATCAATTCTCCATTTCTTTTTATAGCCAAATAATATCCTATCATATGGACATACAACATTTTCTTAGTCTATTCATCAATTTGATGGTCATTTGGATTGTTTGCATTCTTTGATAATTAAAATAATACTGCTACAAACATCTGCATTTTCGTATAGACATACGTTTTCTTCCTCTTGGATATATATCTAGGAGTGGATATGCCACATCATACAGTACCTCTATATTTTCCTGTCTGAGGAACTGCCAGACCATTTTCCAAAGCAGCTTCTCTGGAAAGACTTTGCCTTTCTACTATTAGTGTATGAGTTCCAGTTTCTCCATATCCTCACCAACACTTGTTACTGTCTTTCTTTCATAATGGAATGAAACAGTATTGTGATTCTGATTTGTATTTCCCTGATGACTAGTTATTGAGAATCTTCTAATGTAGTTATTGGTCATTTGCATATCTTCTTTGACGAAATGTCTATTCAGATCTTTGCCTATTTTTTTAAATTTATTTCTCTATTTAAATACTAAAGGCCCGATGCAAGAAATTCATGCAAGAGTAGGCCTTCCTTCTCCCAGCTGCCGGTACCTGCTTTCCTCCGGCACTCGGGACCTGGGCTTCCCTTGCAGCCCCAGCTTCGTCCAGAAGGACATCTGGTCTAATTAGCATATAACGCTTTTATTATTATAGGTATTTTTATTCATTTCAGAGAGGAAGGGAGAGAGAGAGAGAGAGAGAGAAACATCAATGATGAGAGAGAATCATTGATCGGCTGCCTCCTGCACACCCCACAGTGGGAATCCTGTGGAGATCGAGCCTGCAACCCGGGCATGTGTCCTGACCTGGAATCAAACCATGACCTCCTGGTTCAGAGGTCAACACTCAACCACTGAGCAACACAGGCCAGGCAATCTTTGCCTCTTTTTAAACTGTAAGAATACAGCTGAGTTGTAAGAGTTATTTATATATTCTAGATACAAGTTTCTTATCAGATTATATGATTTGCAAATATTTTCCCTTACTCTGTGCATTGTCTTTCCACTCTCTTGATAACAACTTTTGATACACAAAAGTTTTTATTTTGTTGAAGTCCAACTTATCTATGTTTATTGTAACTTGTGCTTTTGGTATTATAACTAAAAATCATTGCCTAAGCAAAAGTTATGAAGATTAGCACCCATATTGTTTTCCAGAAGTTTTATGGTTTTAGCTCTCACATTTAGGCCTTTGATATATTTTGGATACAGTGTGAGGTACAGGTCTAATTCATTCTTTTCCACGTGGATATCCACTTGTCCCAGAACCATTTGTTGAATAGACTATCCTTTTCCCATTGAACTCTCTTGGAACATTTTTTTTAAATCACTTATCATAAATGTAGAGTTTTATTTCTGGTCTATTAACTCTATTCCAAAGATCTATATGCCTATCCTTATGCCAGTACCACATTGTCTTGATTACTGTGGCTTTGTGTTAAATTTTGAAATTGGGAAGTGTGAGTCTTCCAATTTTGCTATGTTTCAAGATTGTCTGGGTTATTGTGGGTCCCTTAAATTTCTATATAAATTTTAGAATGAGCTTTTTCAATTTCTGCAAAGAATCCAACTGAGATTTTTACAGAGATTCTATTGAATGTATAGATCAATTTAGGAAATATTTCCATTTGAACAATATTGCCTTTTAGTCCATAAACATGGAATGTTTTTTTTTCATTTATTTAGATTTTTCTAAATTTCTTTCAATTATGTTTTATAATTTTAAGAATATGTTTTATACTTTTTAAGTTACATTTATTTCTAAGCACTTTATTATTTTTCATATTATTGTAAAAGAAATTATTTTCTTAATCATTTCAGAGGTTCATTATAAGTGGTCAGCAGAACAATTAAAATTTGTATCCTGCAACCTATCTTTATTTGTTTATCAGTTCTAATAGTTTAGTGGATTTTCCATATACAAGATCATGTCATCTACAAATATAGTTTTATAGAAAAGTAAACTGGTCTCCCAATCTAGAAATCTTTTATTCCATATTTGTTCCTAATTATCCTGGCTAGAACTCAGTAGTACCATACTGAATAGTAGTGATGACACTGGACATCTGTCTTGTTCCTGATCTTCTGAGGAAAGCTTTCAGTCCTTCACAATGAAGTATGATGCTAGCTATGGGTTTTTCACAGGTACCCTTTCTCAGGTTAAAAATGTCCCCTTCATTCCTATTCGTTGCTGCTGTTTAGTGGGTTTCTTTTCTTTTTTTATCATGAAGAGGTACTGGATTTTGTCAAATGCTTTCTCTACATAAAACATAGACCCTTGTACTTGCTTTTCCCTGTAAATGCTCTTTCTATACTATTGCCATAGCTCATATTTCTCATATTTACAGGTATCTAAATCTGGACAGTCCTAGACCATTATATTCAAAAGTTCCCATCCACCATTATCTCTTACCCAGTCAGTCTATCATATAATCTTCAGAACATTCAGCCATTATTATTGTAAGCACAAATTTTGATAACACTTGTATAAGGTTTAGTAATTGCCAATACATATTTATCATTTTAACCCTCACAACAACCTTACTAGGTAGGTGGTATTATCACCAATTTATGGGTGTGGAAATTAGTCTTGTTCAAGGTCATGCAGTTTATAAGTGGCAGACTCAGGATTAAAATCCAGGCTCCCTAGCTCCCCAGACCATTCCCTTAAATATATTATCATGCCTATCAATGATTGTTCTTACTTACTTCTTTTTTTTAATAGACATATACTTATTTTTTTAATATATTTTATTGATTATTTACAGAGAGTAAGGGAGAGAGTTAGTTAGAAACATCGATGAGAGAGAGACATCGATCAGCTGCCTCCTGCACACTCCCTACTGGGGATGTGCCTGCAACCCAGGTACATGCCCTTGAACGGAATCGAACCCGGGACCCCTCAGTCCTCAGCCCGACGCTCTATCCACTGAGCCAAACCGGTTATGGCCTTACTTACTTCTTACCTTACTATCTATACACAAACATTGCCAATCTTATTTATTGTCCTATTTTTAGAATCTAACACCATACCTGGCTGGTGTTCAATAATCCTATATAATAAAAGCATAGTATGCAAATTGTCCCCTCAACCGGGAGTTCTGGGAATTCAACCAGGGGGTAGGGCTGGTGGTGGGGGGGTGGTGCGGGGGAGGAATTGAGGGAGGCAGCAGGTGGCTGGGGGAAGGGAAGGAGGTCCCAGCTGGCAGCCACTACGGACCCTACTAGTGCACGAATTTTGTGCAATGGGCCTCTAGTTTGTTTAATGAATAAATGGAACACTGGTCTCAAGATGACCCATGAGAAAAGAGTTCCACAGAACTCTGGTAAGCACTGACAACTACACACACCCATGGAGTTTCATAAGGCCACTTGTTTTTGCGATCCTTCAGTAAGGTTGTTTAGCTTTACCCCATGTTTTCCAAACTCATTTGAACACAGACCTATCATCCTACCCCTGTCCTCACTGCACCAATAATCTAGGGAACACACTTTGAGAAATACTGCACCAGAGAGGCAATTCAGATAGAAGAGTTGATGGAAGGAAGCTTCTGCTTCCCTTTTAGTGGCTGGATCTGCTCTCATTTGTTTAATGAACAAATGGAACACTGGTCTCAAGATGATCCTTAAGAAAAGAGTTCCATAGGACTCTGGTAAACACTGGTGACTACACACACCCATGGAGTCCATGCAAGTTCTCTCATAGCCACAGCTCAGTTCAAAAAGAAAATCCCAATCACAGAAGTGGCTTTAATTTTCTCAGAGCTCTATTTTGCTGAATCTGATTCAAACAAATTCACCCTTCATAATGTATTTTTAACTATTCTCAGAATGCCGGCAAAAATCAATGGTGTGTTAACCACAAAACTGTTTTATTTCTTTCCTAAATACTTACCGCAATGCCAATATTTAAATCATGGCTTTAAATGTAGGACAACTTCAAAATCTTCCTATCTCAGCTCTCTGAGTCTTCAAGGTTATGTACTCAAACTCTCTCTGAAAAGAAAGAAAGACAAATTTCCACTTTGAAATCTGAAAAAGAAAATAGCAAATAATATAAGACAACCACATGTATGAACAAAGCAGGATATACTCCTGTGATTAAATTTCTGCTTCTAAAGAGCTTTCTCCCTTTCAATTATTTATTTTCATCAGCAACTACAAATTATAGGCAGTGGTTACCATATCTTTTTAAACCTCATAAAAATAATTTGAACACAAGCAAGGCTATAGCTAAGATCCTGGACCTCAGAAGAAAGCCCCTGGGTTTATTAGTTGGTTAGCTGGTTAAGAGGTTAAGGTTGGCTTTGGGAAATATTTGATTTTATGCTACTGAGGCGCTTCTTCCTATCTCCTCCCCATATTTATTCAGAACTTGCTTGTAGTGCCTTTTGAAAAAGTCATCTTAGGAAAGAGTTTGCTCAAGCACAGATGACCCTAAACTGGACAGCAGCCAGTGACACACCAACACTGTAAAGGACCAGAAGTGGAATCAGTTCTGAGTTTTTAGCAGCATATGGGAGGCATGGTGTCAGAGCCTATCTTATCTTATATTGCAAGAATGAGGTTCATCTCCAGGCTGAGGCAGCTTATAAGGAAAACAGCCTGTGGTGTTGACGAAGAAAAGAGGAGCTGACCCATGTGAAGTTCCCACAAAGCAACCCCCCGCCCCACCCCACATTATTGTCACCACTGCTTGGTGACATTCAGACAGCCATGAACTCATGACTAGAAACCATATAGGTGGTTGTGATAAACATAGACCAACTATTGAGTTTAAGTAGGTTAATTTTTGTGACAAAAATAAAATCATTTTCCCTCCTTCCCCAAAAATCTATTTATTACTAAAAAGCTTTGCAGCCTTGTAAACTGGGCTAGACCAATTTAAGCCTCTATTTCCTCTAGGACTCCTCCTCAGGATACGAAGCTGGAGAAGAATTTGCCTGCTTTGAAAAAGGAAAACCTCTTTCTGTATTGGCCACAAAAGAAAGAAAAGATTAAAGTATTCAAAAGGAGAAAATGCTGAGGAACCAAAAGAAGCCAAGTGGCAAGGGCAGGGAGGAATCCACACCACACCCTCTTCTGAGAAAGCTCCCAGCTCATCCTAGGCTCTGGCACATTGGTGGGTCATCTGTGGGTCACAGGCCTTGCCCCTCCCTTAATCACCCTGGAGACCAGGCTTCTCTAACTTGAGTGTGCAGAACAATCGCCTTGGGGCTCTACATCTGTCAGTCCGAAAGAAGAAAATCTAGTGGAGATCAAGAGCTCCAGGACCCAGAAGAAGTTTGAAAGGCCTGTACCTGAAACTTTAGTTCCAGGAATCTGGTTTTCCCAAAGACAATGGGAAAACCTGTCTCTATATAATAAAACTACAGAATAAAGACACTTGCAGAAAACAAAACAATAAATCAGTTTTAATATACTCAAGATACCTTGGGAAAAAGAAAAGAGCAAGACCACAATCAGGAAAGGATCAAATTAAGCAGCAGGTTGAAGTTTATTAAAGTTAGTTAAACCTGTAAAAAAGCAGAAAAAAACTCCAAGGAAAACAGGGCTTTGGGAAAGAAAAACCAATATGGCTGGTGCAGAGGCAGAGGAGCTCCCCTCAAGGTCAGACCTTTAAGATCTTGTATCTCTCCAGGCCTCTCTCCACCTTTCTAAAGTTATTTCTTCAGGGTAAACAATAAACTTTATGCTTGACTTTCAGAAGATGAACTACCCGCTATGCAAAAACTCAGACACACTTTGTGACTAATTCTAGACCAACTGCATCTGGAGGGAAGACATGACAAAGAAAGACATACTTTTACCTTCAAAAGACAGGTTTGACAGGAGATGCCCATGAAGGTGCCCACAGCGAAGGGCCTTTTCCAGTGTTTTACTCACATATTACTTAACTATTACAGGGCCAAGTGGCCCCAGGTCCAGAGCATTGGAAAGGTCTTGTCCCCACTCCACCAGATGTCCAAAGGTCTTCTTATAGACCCTAGGTATGAGACCTAACTCTTACTGGGGCTGCCTTCTCC